TACTGTGTTTGGGTGATTGTGGTTAATGATGATTAAGTGGTATTTTAAGACCTTCAACACATGTAATATTATAAAATTGAAGCCTCTGTTCTGAGTGCTTCCAGCATCACCAACCTGAATTACAAATACAAATCCCATCTTCATATTCTACAGATATTACATGCCTACAAAATTGGAATATTACAAAATTTCTTCGAAACTAGAAATTGCAATTTTATCAGTCCCGAGTGACGGGGTATGAGGTTTTAGTAACAATAAGTGTACATACCAAGATGACTGTACTGTCTGGAGGTTGGTGCATGTTCTGCTGCTGTATCTCACTGAGCTTTTGTGCGTACCATGGTCGAAATCCATCCGTATATTGTTGTTGGGAATACATGCTTGGTTGCTTCTGGAAAATCACATAGCATACAAAAGTTTGTTCATGCAAAACCTGTAGGAGTGTCGTCTAAAGTGAAGCTTTTGCGGCCACTGAAGTTGAAGAAACACTCTCAGGAGATTGTTCTCGAAATGTTGGCAGAAGATGTCGTTTATTCACCATTCATCCACCTCACGTGGCTTTCAACCCAAGAGTCTTTCATCAACATGTAACAGTGTCAGTCATTACTCTACCAGCTCAGTAGTCATAATTTAAAATATAAAGTTAAAGACAGTTTTTATAAGTTGCACTTAACAGAAGTAACACATTTAAAAATGGTACCTTCAGCAGCCGTGAGAGGATGAAGGCAAAGATGACGACTTTGAGAGGCTGCACCACAAAGACACTAAGGAGAAATGCTGTTAATACAGCTGCAACCCACATCTGGCTCCTCATCAGACTGAACTTGAGTCCGAAGATCACCGAGGAGGTGGCGGAGAATGAGACAATCAAAGCACAGAGAATCCTGCAAAGAACAGCAAACCTACATGACAAGAGGCAACAGCGTAATAAAATTATTCTGTGGCTATTGAAGCCTTATAGGCCAAGGTATTTAACTGGTCGTAGTAAGCAGCTGCCCAGAATTTAAACACCAGAGGCCACAGAGCATTATAATTATTTTAAGTACGTTAATAAAAAATTTGTAACTAAATAAATTTTTATGATACATTCATGCAATGAACTTTGTCTTTATGAAGAAAGATCACAGTATCACAAAAATGTCAGATCTGAAAATGACGAAACAAAAGTGACATACTTTCCTTGTTGTTTAAATTATTGGCATTCACTTTGGAAAAATAACTCTCTCTTCTACATGCTGTGGTCCCACATTATAAAATCATGTCTACATAACATGCACTCCACAGATTTCTGCCTCTGTAGTGACAGCAGTTATTGTTTATGTGAGAAAAAAAAAGTTCTGCAACAAAAGTTGCAACTGACTGCATTCGTGAACATGTAAGACTCACATCTTACCTACATTATCTAGAGATTTGAATCTTTAAACTGTTTAAATATTTATTATTTAGATGTGTGTATGCACATTTACTAGTCGATTTTAAAAGCGTTACTTTGTGTGGCAAGAAAGCATTCCACTTTAAATCAATCCCTATGGCTGGACCCACAACCTGTATGAGATAAGCAGGAAGTGACACAGAATTCTGTACGGAAACCATTTTAAAAACCAAGACGAGCGAGTAACATCGAAACAGTGATTATGGAACTTGTAAAAGGTATATATCATACGGGCTATCATAATCAAAAATACATTGACCTGAAAACTCTACTAGTTACTATTTTGTTTTATACTTTATGCTAGCTTCCTGCTTCACACTTACGATATCACTCTGATGAACCAAGGAGGAAACCAATAAAATGATTTCCTTTTTTGTTTCCATCCTTTATCCTCCGAATGACCCTTCAATTTAGACGTATTTACGTCAAAAATGTTCTGCACCAAAAGTTGCAACTGACTGCATTCATGAACATGTAAGACTCACATCTTGCCTACATTACCAAGAGATTTGACCCTATCGGCAGTGATAACGCGCAGCCTTTCATACTAATATTTCTCGGAGATATTTGCCCAGAGGAGGCCAACTGACAACACTGGCCAACCTCCTCAGCGAAAAGAATAAACTGTCACACACACACACACACACGCATTCTGCCAGTCAGTAAAGAAGCACATTGCCAAGTGCAAAGGGAGAGACATCAATTCGTGTACTTTGGGGTGCCTTGATTTGTACCATGTAAGGCGAGACTCAATTAGATGAAGCATGAATGAAGACTGAACTTACATAAAGCACATAATGACAAAAAAGAAAATATTTCAATATTTAAACTGTTTAAATATTTATTATTTAGATGTGTGTATGCAAATTTACTAGTCATTTTTAAAAGAGTTACTTTGTGTGGCAAGAAAGCATTCCAATTTAAATCAATCTCTATGGCTGGACCCACAACATGTATGAGATAAACAGGACGTGACACAGAGTTCTGGAGGGAAACCATTTTAAAAACCAAGACGAGCGAGTAACATCGAAACAGTGATTATGGAACTTGTAAAAGATATATGTAACATAGTTATATCATTATATTCTGTAAATTTCTCCTGTAATATAGGTTTTACTGAAGCTTTTGGTAAATGAAAATGAGATGCATTTTTTATAAACTTGTAAGAAATGAAGATTGATGTCTTCTGGGTTATTGCACCATGTAGTCTGATAGATTTCCACCAACATTTCAGACGTCACACTGACTCCGTCATCAGGGTGATGAATGTGAATATGACCTCAGAAACGTCGGTAAATTTCTACCAGACTACAAGGCAGTAATCTTCTGACTCACTGCTGTGAAAACCTAAAATCCTACATTGTAAGAAATGAGTAAACAATTATTTCGTGAAACTAAGCTATGTTACACATATCATACAGACTATCATAATCACAAATACATTGACCTGAAAACTCTACAATCAAGTTACTATTTTGTTTTATACTTTATGCTAGCTTCCTGCTTCACACTTACGATATCACTATGATGAACCAAGGAGGAAACCAGTAAAATGATTTCCTTTTTCGTTTCCGTCCTCTATCCTCTGATGTATGCTTCATGTCACCAAGGGAAGTGTCTGCATCTTGAGATTTTGATTTCAGTCTGTCTCGAGACTCTAAGCGTAGGTTTGGAATAAGTGGCTCCATCATGATAAATGTAAGTAAAGAACTCCACCACTTCTCTCTTCCCATTTCTCCTTCTGATGTGACGGATAAACATGGAAAGGTAAAAACTGATTATTACAGAAATATAAGCACATGATAAGAAATCCTAATCTGCACACAAGTGGTGACAATAAATGACAAATACTTTGAAAATATATACAATTCCAAGTCTAATTCATTAGAATGTAATTAATTAAAATGAACTAGCATCAGGATATGACGATCCAATGTTATAACAACTCGTTAAATCAAAAAGATAATGAATGAATAAATAATGTAAGACATTTTCATTGAAACTACACCATGTGGGCACTCGGGGGAGAAGTAACATATATATAGCTCCTAATCATTTATAACCTTGCAACTAGATAGGAATGGGTGGTCAGCGTTACTCCCCGGCCAAGCTTTACCCCGGCAAATGACCCCAGTACCCACTGGACAGGAGAGTGTGTAGGCCCCTGAGCTGGTCTGACGCAGAGGGTAGAGGAAAAATCCTCTTCTCCTGCCGGGGATCTAACCACGGTCGTCCAGTCTGTGGTCAGTCACTATACTGACTGAGCTAGCCAAACTCTTTACACTGAAACTACAATTTGAAAAACATGGTGGTGAGGAGTCACCTGTCTTCTGCGGCTCCACTTCTGCATCAGGTGGCGGATCTGTTGAGGAACCTTCGACTCTTGTACAATAAAATAATTCGTCACTTGGAGCAGTTTTTCTGTGTAAACAACATTAAAATAATCAAAATTAGAATTTTAATCTTGGTTATGACCTTTGGTTGGGGAATATGGCAACAGGCTGAAGGGCAAACAGCATGCAATACATACAACTGTTACCACGCTAACATCAAGAAATTACGAATTAAATCTGGCATTGGATTTGATTTCGCGATTTTTCCTGTCACCATGAAGTTTACTTTACTTGGACAATTATACACGCCGATGTAAGATTTGAGGTTTTCACAGCAGTGAGTATGAAGATTTCTGTCTTCTGGGTTGTTGTGCTGTGTAGTCTAGTCGATGTTTACCAACGTTTCAGAGGTCATACTGTCTCCGTCACAGGGCGATGAATGTGCCAATTGGATGTGTGGGCCTAGGTTTATAGGAGTGGGACAGTGGATAGAGTAGCCAGCCCCATGGTCCGGCACCTACATTCATCGCCCTGATGACGGAGGCAGCACGACCTCTGAAACGTTGGTTAACATCGACGAGAGTACACAGCCCAACAACCCAGAAAGAAATCTTTATACTCACCGATGTCGGTGATTGACTATTATTAATACAATTATCGATGTTGGTGATTGACTATTATTAATACAATTATGCAAATTCTGATGCTTAAATTTTAATATCTAGCAAATAACATGCCTGCATTATTTTGGATTTGGAGGAACAGGGATTGCACAGAAGTCAGTTTTATTAAGATCCAAGGTGGGACACAAAGTGACAGGCAGACATGTAACTAATAAGCACTCATGCACAATAAAAATATCCCTAAACGTATGAAGCACAAAGCATTTTTTAATAAACCTGAAAGGCTATACAAAATTAATACTTTCATGAAAGGTCTGAGCATTACACATATTTTTGTACTACTTTGCTTCACACTGGCTTTATAGATGCTTTCACTGGTGGGTTGACACTGACAAATCTAAGAGCTGAAGCATTTTTCTTTTACTCCCCCTTATAAAAGCTACATAGTAAGTTACATTGTGAAAGTAAAATGTAAGATCACAGCAGTAAAGAGTTGATGATGAAATTGGTCTCGTGGGAGGCAAAGCTGCATGCAATTGCACGAGATAATTTTGCCAGATGATTAAACACTAAACACAGCAGCAGTTAAGATCATTACTCATCTCTTCTTCATAAATGATAAGTTATGAGTTGGTAGACAACATAAGACAACAAAACACCATTTATTTCATCTCACCTGAACAGGAGAGCAAACAGGAAAGTGACAGGTGCTGTAAGAAAAGCCCCCGCAACAGTACAGAGTAACTGCCATCCAAAAAGTTGAAAGATGTTTTCACCAAGCTCTTCAGCTGCATAAGAAACAGAAACACCGTGTTAGTTCACAACACAAACTTTACCTGTGAATCTTTTGTAGTAGCCACATATATGGCCCTGTGCTTTGATTAAAACAACATGTGTTGTGTGAGCTCGTTATACAACTACCGTCACTTACCAGGATCATCTACCGGAATGCCGGACAGTAGTATGCTGGTGATTATGGTAGCCATGGTGATGCTGAGAGCCACACAGAGGCGCTGTGTTCGGGTGTATGTGCTGCGTCGATGTCTGTAACATACCCACTTCATTAACACTGCTCTGCTTAGCTGTAATTTTTATGGACAAGGAGTTGGCTAAGTGGAGAGGTTAGAATGTATGGGCAATGTGGTACGGATGTGACTGACATGCAATGCAAAATAGTAACTGAAGAAGCTCATGAATGAGCCAACTTGAAAGACCAAGACATTGATGTGAAACTGAAATTAAAATTGACTGCACAGAAACAGGTTCCGGGAATGTTAACTGGACTGAAAGTTTCAGAATAAGGCCGATGATAATAAGAACTGGGCCCCATGGCAGGTTCTTTATAAGCAGTGTTGATATTTGGTATTTTATCTACTCTTAAGACGAGTAAGCTGACTAGTCAACATACAAATTCTTTTCTCTCTCATACAATGTCCTTGTAGCAGACAATATAATTCCCGCATGTCTCAAAACTCCATCTGATTCTGCGCCTCATTATCTGCCAACTGTAGAGCAGTAGAAAGTCTTTCAATCGTTACCTCAAGAAGATGCTGGTCCACACATGCTGCTCCTGGAAGCCCAAGTAGAGATGACCAGCAAACAGCACTTTCCAGTCGTACAGCGCTTCCACTGTGGCTGGGAACAAAACACAGCGTAAGGTGCACCCCTCGTGCATCACTGACAACCAGCGACGCACCAGAAATGTCCATACTTGATTTTGCAGTAAGTCTGTCACCACAATCCTGTCACAGTACCTGCAATATGACCACATCAAAATACTTTAATTCTTTCATAATTAAGGGAGGTGTTCTGTCAAAAAACAGTATTTTTTATGTTCTAAAAAATTTCCCCAAGAAATAAAGATTGAACTTATTGAACATTACACATTACAGATTTCAAAAGTAAAGGTATATGAAAGAGAAGAATATAAGTATTTATATATGCAGGGATGTCCAAATCCTGATGCCATACTATCCTCTTATGCGTAGTTCAGCAGTGTGCACCCATCATTATCCAAAGCATCTATCTATTTAGAAATGTTTAAACCAGTAATTCCAAATACCAATCTTTCGCTTTGAAACTTCCATTCATCTCTGTCGAAAACATGAAAACGACAAACATTTACATTATTAAATAGTGGAAGCCTTACTCGCATATGTGTGGGTATCACCTCGAGTTTTTTACAGACAATCTGAAAAGTGTTTATGGTAGAAAGATGATTCTTGAACCAACAGTCACCATATTTTCCATAGAATCAATGACTGCTCTTAAATATTGTTGAATGCATATGAATCTGAGCCTATGATATTCCAAAATATGATTCTGCACTGATATGAATAAATATAGGAGTTCAAAAGTTGAAGAAACACATACACACACTCATAAAACAGCATCGTGATCTCGTAACATAGGATAAGCTGAAAATTGTGCTGAACAAGGACAATTCCTTCAGATGCTACCTCTGCCTGTACTTAAGAGAACTGAGTAGACATAAGCACAACACATGTTGATTTAAAGTTGTATTCCTAATAGTGAAGGTGTTAAAGAAATGGAAGTACAGAAATACAAAGTTCCAAACATTTTGCTAAAGGTTTGTAATTTCTTTACCAGGCTGCGTGGTGACCAGAGCAGTTGTGCCACAAGCTGATGTAAGAGATGGAGCCTAACCTCCGGGCTTCAAGGAGCACGAAAAAGTTGTCAGAGCTTCGAGAGTGGATGGCCTTGCTGCCGCTCACCAGAATGTGATTCTTGGAAAAAGACAGTCAAGATGAGAGCATGTCAAGCATATGACACTATTAAAAACAATTCACATTTCAAACAAATATCTTTAGGTACATTTACCCTTTTACATCATTTACATTCCTGGAGTCTATGTGCATGCATGGAATTCAAATAGACTCCAGGTGTTCGATATAAAAAAGTGCATTTATTGCACTACTTAGCTAGAAACTTGAAATAACAACTCTATTATGGAGAACAAGTACTTTGTCCCATGTAAGTAAATTAGTCGCATCAGTCTTTAACATACTTACTTTGCATTTTTTATCAATTTTCTGATAACTTTTGCATGTTTTAATTGAATATTCTTTGATTTTAATCCAATACTGCAGCTTGAGAATGGCAGAGATTTGACTTCACTTTGAATTGCTACGTTACTTGGTCAGAAATAAAGTCCAAGCAAATTTTAAAACACTAGACCAACCATGAGTGGCATGCATGTTTAGCACTCTACAGAATTTAACATTACTGTAGTTTATATAATTATTTCGCAGATCATTTACTGCTAACTTGCCATATCAGAGAGAAGAGGATACCGGGTTTCAACCTGACAGGGAAGGCAGAATTTCCAAAACAAACCAGGTTCTTCAGTAGGAGTAAAGAGTTGTAATATCAGTGCTCTAATGAGACTGAACGTATCTTACCATACTTTTGTCCTTATCTCCCACTAGCTTTATACCAACAACGGAAGAAGTTCCAGCATTTCTCTGGTACCCAGTGTACACTGCTACTAAGTAAGGGTAGCTGTCGCCAGGACAGTTGTCTCCGAGAATTATCACTTCGTTCTGAAACCAATAAATATTCACTGCACAGATTTCAACATTGCAGGGAAAAAATATCCTGTGTTGTGGCTCCCCTTTGAAAATTATTTTGTTTTAGAACCCAACATTTAGGATAATCTGCTTTTCCTGCTTTTCAACTATGTAAATATTTGGAGAAAAACATCACTGAGAATTTGGCAAGAGGTACGAAGATGACCGAATACTGTCCTGTATAGTCTGGTAGAACATTACTGACATTTCAAATGCGCAAACTGCCCATAGTATGAACAGATGGGAAAAAATACGCTGTGTTGTGGCTCCCCTTTGAAAATTATTTTGTTTTAGAACCCAACATTTAGCATAATCTGTTTTTTCTACTTTTCAACTATGTAAATATTTGGAGAAAAACATCACTGAGAATTTTTCCAAGAATTCAGGTTCTCACGGCAGGAGGTACAAAGATGACCGAATACTGTCCTGTATAGTCTGGTAGAACATTACTGACATTTCAGATGCGCAAACTGCCTCCAGTATGAAGAGATGTAAAGACTTAGGGCTCTGTCTTTTACATTGGGCAATTAGACTTGCAATGCCACATACTTATAGGAAAAACGAAAAACAAAATGCCTTCACACATGTGAGACTGAGGAAGTAAAAAACTTATTTAATTATCAAAAATATAATTTCAGAGCAATAACTAAATACACAATACCTTAAAAATATCCTGTTTGTCCTTCACATATGTCCATATGAGGATGAGGAAGTAGACAACTAAAATTGTCAACACGAAAAAAAGTATGACAGCGTTATTGGAGGCAGAAATAAGGTACACGTCTATGTCGAGAACTGGATCAACGTTGCTGGAAGGTATAAGAACAGTCCCAGAAAACCCACCGAAGTGAGTGCAGCGGCAGTGCAGTCGGTTCAGCGTCGTCTCATTCCCTGACTACAAAGCGCAAACACATTTAGTAAGGTTATGTTGGAAATAAAGTCAAAATTAATGGGAGAAACAAACTACGGTAATCTTAACACTAGGTATATTTACTTTGCAGCGTATTTATAATTTTGAAACTCTCATTTATCTTCATGATAATATGTTATAGACACAAGTCTAATGTTGACCTAATGAACAGTACAAATACCACTTATCTAAGTAATGTAAATAACTTTACCCGCATTTCACGAAATACAAATCACATCAGAAATGTTCTCAATAAAATTTGGAGGCCTTTGTAACACATATGTTTCATATCACGCAGCAGAGTTTGTATATGCATTTAGACATTTTACAGAAATTGACGTACGCAGTTTCAATTTGAAAAACAGCCATTTATATCAGATGGATGTCAAAGTTCAACAAATATTCCTCAAAATATGAACTGTACTCTTCTGGGTTAAGGTACTGTTCAGTTCTCTGGCGAAACTTATCGCCTCGGCCTTCTGGTGATGAGTTCTTCAGAAACACCAATAATAAAGACTCAAACAACTACACAGCTTCATAACAAAGGAGACCACAATCAACATTTTATTATGATCCTAGTAGCCTTTGTAGCAAGAAAACAACATCTACTTGGGAAAGGTCTTCTTACTTTGTCACCGCAGATAACAAATATCAAACCACCTTTGGCAATGGGAAAGTGTGTTTATTTACGTGGCAGCTGCTGTCACTGAAATTAGCTATTTGTCAGTCTGAGAAAAAAAAACGTTTTGGGACTGTTTACAATTCATTATGTGTGTATATCAGTTCCTTACCAGATGATAGGCAAAAGTAACATTCAAAAAAGTTTATAATATTCACGAGACTGCTATCGTTAGGAAGTATACCACTATTTCTCCATAAACAAATCTAGGTATTTTTACCTGAAAGCCAAATTCTACTCTTGGGAGGTTATGTATCAGTTGAAATCCGAATATTCATAGCTACACCCGACCTCAACTAATAACTCCAATGACCAATTAAAAAATCTCCCTTTATGATGTGTTTGGATCCAGTCAGTTCGTAATAATGTGAACAGTAAGATGGTGATTGATATGAATAAAATGATTTGTAGAGAGACAGAAAAAAGTAAAATAAAAGACAAAAGATCCACATAACCTAACGTAACCAATGATAAAATTTTTTGTGTGTGTGTGACGCATTTGGGTTCTTTGCGCTCATCGTAAACAATTGTTAAAATACTTTGCTATTGAGTGGATGGTGAAGTATAGGATTCTTATGAAGCTTCCTGCAATTATTGTTGGTAGAAGCGAAACTGTATGGTTGATCAACGAGCACCTTGATTTTCTGTGCATAAGTTACCCTCAGGCTTCTAGTGTTACCACTGCTCTTACATGCCACAATCCCATATTCTGCTAGATTTTCCAAATTTTGTATTATTCCAAGATTCCATAAGAATTATAAAAGGACAGACAACTTACATAACAACCACTGCTGTCCCAACTCATGGTCTTCATGTTCCAAACATGACATTCCAATGTTCTGATTTGAAAAGAGTAATCTATCGTGAGCCTATCATTTTCATCCATCGTGTCAGTCACAGCCTGAAATAAAATTTGCATTTCATCATTAGTCATCTATAGTATTAGAAATTTTAACAGATTTTCTGTCTAAGGTTGCAATCCTATGGTCACTTTCTTTTAAGTTTTGAATTCTCCACATTAAACACAACAGAATTTATGAGTATTTGAGCATAAAATTCAGTCAACACCTGCCCTGTGATTTACTGAACTCCTTTAATTAAACATTCCACATCCCGCGCACTGAGAATTAAAAGCAATATTCTGTCTTCATTCGTTTCTTATAAATAAAAGTTCAACAAGATTTGTAACAATATCATCATTCTGGCTGAAACAATCTTGTAAAGATTTAACTGTTTAACCTACTAGCATACTATTTACACAAATCGTAATATCCTAATTTTAACAGTCAAAAACCTCCATAAAGATTAACATCATTTTTAATTTAATTCTGCAGTGTTCGATACCTGTTAAGGCATGAAAGATAACATAAAGAGGCGGACTTTAAAGTACAGGAGTGATTATTTTGTATCTCTAGAATATCAGGATGAGGCAGTATACCAACATAGCACCAATCATCATCAAGATGGCTCACTCCATCCACAAAAACAACAAGGTTATCTCCTTCCTGTTCAGTAGACGAAACATTGCGCGGAACTGTTTCAGAATATTTTTCAAAATGTTCCAATGATGGCCTTACACCAGCTGTAACCACGACCTGCACAACAGAACGACGAGCAATTACAATAAAACCAAAAGATGACAAAACTGTAATTACAAATCATTTTTCTATAATTGGAGAAAGTTATATTTCTTCAAAACCTGTTAATACACTGGGCAGTTATCACATGCTTAGCAATTTTAACAGATTTTCTGTCTAAGGTTGCAATCTTACGGTCAACTTTCTTTTAAGTTTTGAATTCTCCACATTAAACACAACAGAATTTATGAGTATTTGAGCATAAAATTCAGTCAACACCTGCCCTGTGATTTACTGAACTCCTTTAATTAAACATTCCACATCCCGCGCACTGATAATTAACAGCAATATTCTGTCTTTATTCGTTTTCTATAAATAAAAGTTCAACAAGATTTGTAACAATATCATCATTCTGGCTGAAACAGTCTTGTAAAGATTTAACTGTTTAACCTACTAGCATACTATTTACACTAATCGTAATATCCTAATTTCAACAGTCAAAACCTCCATACAGATTAACATCATTTTTAATTTAATTTTGCATTGTTTGATACCTGTTAAGGCATGGAACATAACATAAAGAGGCAGCCTTTAAAGTACAGCAGTGGGTTAAGTATGATGAATATTTTGTACCTCTAGAATATCTGGATGAGGCAGTATACCAACATAGCACCAATCATCATCAAGATGGCTCACTCCATCCACAAAAACAACAAGGTTATCGCCTTCCTGTTCAGTAGACGAAACATAGCGCGGAACTGTTTCGGAATATTTTTCAAAATGTTCAAATGATGGCCTTACACCAGCTGTAACCACGACCTGCACAACAGAACAACGAGCAATTACAATAAAACCAAAAGATGACAAAACTGTAATTACAAATCATTTTTCTATAATTGGAGAAAGTTATATTTCTTCAAAACCTGTTAATACACTGGGCAGTTATCACATGCATAAGGATGGGCAAATATTGTGCGTCATGGATCTAACAGACAGGCATGAAGGTTAGTGTAAAAAAACTAAAATGGAGAAAATTTTTTGTCAACTGACAATTGCGATAATTTTAATTGTTAAGGAATTATCAACATTATGCCACTATTTCTGCTGTATGTATATATCATAGACGTAGAAACTTGGCTACCAGATGTATCATGTAAATTGGAAAGATGTAAGAAAGAAGAAGACATCTTGGGTGTATTTACCACTGGATTAAATGAACCAGAATCTATCCAACCAGATAAACTAATGTAGGCGATTTCCCTGCCCAGTCCAGAATTTGATATTTATTTAGTTTGCAGTTTACAGATGTATCAAGCTCACGGATACGAGGTGCGATCAGAAAGTTTCAAGTCTGCGCCTATAAAAACCCGTACACTTATCTCAGGTATTAAATTCATACATCGCCCTCGAAGTAGTTCCCCTGGGAGTGAACACAACGATCCCAGCGCCGCTGCCAAGCCTGGAAGCATCCCTGGAAATCTTTCTTTGTCAGCCTGTCAAGCACCATCTGCGATTCTGCCTGAATCTCTTCTATCGTCTCAAATCTTAACTGAATTTTAATCTTTGGGAAGAGGAA